TGTGAACTTGATGAGTCGATCCACCTACACGTCTTGCTTTTACTGCTATATCGGGAGTTACTCCACGTATTGCTTGACGTAAAACAGATAGTGGATTTGTTTCTGTCTTTTGTTGAATCTTTTTCATGGCTCGCTAGATAATTTTATAAGCCCATGATTTTTTTTCGTGTTTCAGAATACGGTTTACCAACATATTAACTAATCGATTGCGATAAATTGGATCAGATTTTGCAGTTTTTTCTTTTGCAGTACCTCGACGTGACATGAGCGTGAAAGAGGTTCAAGAATCCGTTTTCTTTTTATAAGGGCTAAAATCACTTATTTTAACACAGGGCATACAGTTACTGTAAATCAGAGTATAAAACATGCAGCGGAATAAAATGTTTAGATCATACCTTTTTTGATGATAGAACCTCGTGGATAAATCACGTGCTTCCTGAATCTAGTCAATCAACCCAGCAGTGAAGTGATATTACAATATTGAATATCACTCACACAAAATCACAATGCAAAGACTTGATCGTTGTGTTTTTGGGAGAGAGTCAGTATCTTGGAAAAAAAACAAACATACGTTGTTTTTCCACTTAATCACCCATATCCCATATATCAGATATATAATCTATTTATCTCATTTATCCATTTGTTAAATGAGATAATATCTGATATCTATATCATCTATCCATATCATGATATGATAGATATATATCCTGAGTGGCTATCCAAATAGGTTTGAATTCAAATTTAAAACCCATTTGGATGAGGTTCAAAAGGTTCTAAGGGCCACATGGGCGCCCAATTTCTAACAAACAGAAAACTATATTACCAGTAGGGCTACTGCCATCCTCGGCGCATGATAGCATGGAGGAGGATGAGACGTGGATGAAAATCACTGAGTGACTAAACATCCAGAGCAAAGGATCTGTTGTTTACATTGCACTCGGCACAGAGGCCACTCCGAGTGAGGCCGAGTTGACCGAGTTAGCTCACGGGTTAGAGCTATCCGGATTGACATTCTTTTGGGCTCTAAGGAAGCGTCCTGGGTCAGCCGAGACCGAGTCAGCTGAGTTACCAAATGGGTTTGAGGAGAGAACCAAAGGTCGTGGTTTGGTCTGGAAGAGTTGGGTGCCCCAACTCAGGATATCGGCTCACGAGTCAGTTGGGTGTTTCTTGACTCACTGTGGTTGGAATTCAATTGTTGAGGGATTGCAACAAGGGCATCCACTGATAATGTTGCCAATGTTATGGGACCAAGGATTGAATGCTAGGGCTTTGGAGGAGGAGAAAGTGGGAATAGAAATGCCTAGAGATGAATGGGACGGGTCGTTTACGAGGAACTCAGTGGCCGAGTCACTGAGGTTGGTCATGGTGGAGGCGAAGGGAAGGGTGTACAGGGACAAGGCAAAGGAGATGAGTTCAATATTTGGGGACAGGGATCTACACGAGCGGCATGCAGAAAACTTTGTTGGTTACCTTCAAAGCCACACGTCTCTACGTAAAGGTCTCCAGTGATTGCCATGTTTTGCAGTCATTTAATTTTTTAATTTCATGAAGAAAAAAAATTTGTTCAATTCCATAATCCGTTCATTTTATTGCATTTCTATTTAAAAAAATTAAATGATAAATGTGTTTTTCAAAAATAAATTATCTATTTTTTTATGAGATAAACACCATAAATTGAATGTGTTATCATTATCGAATTGATTTAATTTTTTTGTTCGATGATATAATTGAAGGACCTTATAAAATAAATAGTTTGACAAATTAAAATGAAACCTAAGATGAGTCCAATAGACTCAGATAACACTCTAATTTAAATTATGGATTAAAGAAAAACCACTTCTTACTTTTTAGGGTAAGTTATACTTTTTCAACTTCATCTTTGACTATTTTCTCACTTTGGTTTTTAAATTTTATTTTTCTTCCATATTGGCCTTCATGTTTTATTTTTATTTTATTTTTTATTTTTTTTATTTTTTCAATTTTCTACTGAAGTTAATTTATGTTCAAAATTAAACATTAATGTCATATTGATAGTCACGTAACATAAAAATATTTTATTATATTTAAGTTACACCTCTGACACAAACCCAAACCCAAATCCTAATATAATAATTTATTTTTTTATGTTTTATGTTATCTATTTTTTAACATATATTAGGTTTAGAAGTAAATTAGAAAAAACTTGAAGCATATAGGACCACAGTAAATAAATAAATAAATAAATTTTAACAACCAAAATGAGAAAATGACCAAACATAAATGGGCAAAATGTAATTTACCCTAACTTTTACTTGCAACAATGATGCTTGGTGACAATCTTTTCATATATCATTTTCTTTCATGTAATTTAGCACATTCACATATTGCGACAATTTGTCCCGTCGAAAGAGCATCTTATCGGTTTTTATTTTTAAAGTGTACTATAGTATTTGATGCAATTTTTACTTACGACTAATAAGATAGTTCAAATATATAGATATATATATATTATTGAGAATGAGTAAGTAAAGGACTTGGGATAGGGCTTGTGCCTTATGGCACAACACGTGTGTTGTGTGGCTTGTCAGCGTGCATCTCGAGCCTATTTTCATGATCCGTATTATTCATATTATAAGGTTTGTCGAATAGATCCTACATAAATAAATAAATAAAAAATTAGATCAATTGGATATCTGTAACCCCATAATAAGATCACATTTGCTTTGAACAAAAATAAACGGTAAAAAAAAAAGAAAAAAAAGAAAAAAAAAAGATCAATTGGACATCTGTAACCCCATAATAAGATCACATTTGCTTTAAACAAAAATAAACGGTTGGTATAATTTTGATAATTTTTAAAAAATAATTAGGACTTATCATGAGATTACGTATGTCTGATTAACTTGAATTGTTTTATGAATAATAAACTCGATAAATCCTATAATGTAAGCAGTTCAAATTGTTAGGTTTTTATTCTTGGCAATCCCGTTTGACAAAACTCCTTTCAGTTGTACTTATTTTCGTACTTTTTATTTCAGTAAGGCTATGAGTTTTTAGATGCGAATCCAACGCGAATTGTGCATTGCAGAGAAGTTTGTGATATTAATACTTTCAAGATTGTCACTCCGCTGATTATGACGGAGATCAAGATGCCCGGTCAGCTCGCAGGAGTCCAGGGGGCAGTGCCCCTTGGCGGGTCTGGGGCAGCACCACGGCGGGGTCGAGAGGCAGCGCCCCCGAAGCAAAATGCAAAAATGCATTCAAAGTTGCCTCCCCGCTCGAGCATCCATTCCCCCGCTCGAGCGGAGAATGCTGAGTTCCAGAAATTTATTCGCCTGCAAAAATACTAGATGTTGTTTTTTCCCGCTCGAGCGGAACTTTTCGCGCTCGAGCGTAGGTCCGCTCGAGCAGCCAATCTGACGCTCGAGCGGAGATCGCGGGACAGTTTTCTATAAATACGTGTTTCAGTCCAAATCTAAGATTACTTCTTCAGATCTTCTTTTTGGGTTCTAGGGTTTATATCTGGGGATATTTTGTTAGTTTTCTTTGATATTTTGAGTGAGTATTCAACTCATGATTTTAGAAGTTTACATCAAAGGATTGTTTGTTTAATTCTATACAAAAGAGAGAGTTGTTTTTTGGTGGATCCTGAAGAATACGAGCCTGAAACTTTGGTGAATTCTGGAATGGCTCATCGTCAAGACAATTCCAAGGTGAAGATGGGGTTGGAAGAGACACATAGAGGTTGGTTCAATTCGAGCGTTGATTCGCTAGGTAATTGAGAGTATATCTGTGTAATTCCTTTATATCTTCTTAGTGGATTATTTTGTGACTGTTGCCCGTGGTTTTTTTATCACAATTGGAGGTGTCCAATTGTGGTTTTTCCACGTAAAATCTTTGTGTCGATTTGTCTTGATTGTTTGATTGGGATTGTTGTTTACTACTTAAAATTGATACATAATCACAAATCAACATCTAGGGGATTTCTAAACAAATCATCGAAAAAGGCTTGTGGCCCAACGTTGTAAGTAATTGTGGAGTGGTTATTGGGCTAGGTCTTAAAAAAATAAAAATAAATAAATAAATAGAAGAGATGGTTGTAATATATAATAACAACTTCAAATTTGTTTGCTTTAGTTGAACTAGGTCAAAATTGGGACTGATCTTACAACTAAGTCAAGTCATATTAACTTGACTAATCATCCTTCATATCAAAGGCTACAAAAAAATAAAAAATAAAAAAACTCATCTTGTCATGCAAATGATTGGCATGAAATAAGAAAAGCATATATACAAATGAGTTTTAATCAACCTTTTGACCACAATTTCCCTCAACAATAGATGTATCTTGTTTGATTTTTACATATTGAAGCCTGATTTTGGTAAGCAAGCAAGAAGTGACACTTTTTGTGAGAGGTGGATTTAAAATTTGGAATAGGAATGACAAGGTGCACATTGGAATTTTTTTTTTGGCAAAAGAAGAAACTATATTGATGAAGAAAATATAAAAATATAATTACATCAATAAAAAAGAGAATGAAAGAGAAGGAATGCAAAAAGCATCAAAGCGAAGAGAAGGATCCCAACTATGTTGGTATCCAACAGCACGTCCAATCATTTGCTAGCACTCCAACAAGTTGATGAGAGATCAACCTAAACCAAAATACAACTACTACTCCAACGAGAGTTCCAAAGAAGACCCCTGCAACCTTATCACAAACCCCATCAACCTACCAGCAAATAGAGCACACAAATTGCCATAGTAGCAGAACAAAATTTCACAGTAGCCAGAGCAGACCTGCTAGGATGGTCTGCTAAATTTCCAATTTAGGTTGCAAAGTGATAATAAGTGTTTTTGTTGCAGCTTGCACGTCTTGACGATGCTAAAGCTGCACAGAGTTTAAATGGACAGTTGGAGATTGCTGGTCAAATAAACAAGGTGACTTAATACAGCAGTAGGCATAGTTTCATAGCAGCCAGAGCAGAATAGCAGATTTACAGTAGCTAATCATAACAGAAATCCAGAGCAATCAGCAAACCAAGAACCCAGTAGACTAGCAATTGAGTCAAAGAACCAAAATAGAAACATAGCAAACCAAAACAGAAAAATCAAGATGCCCGGTCAGCTCGCAGGAGTCCAGGGGGCAGTGCCCCTTGGCGGGTCTGGGGCAGCACCACGGCGGGGTCGAGAGGCAGCGCCCCCGAAGCAAAATGCAAAAATGCATTCAAAGTTGCCTCCCCGCTCGAGCATCCATTCCCCCGCTCGAGCGGAGAATGCTGAGTTCCAGAAATTTATTCGCCTGCAAAAATACTAGATGTTGTTTTTTCCCGCTCGAGCGGAACTTTTCGCCACTTCACCAATTTTTCGAAAATTATTAACATTTCAGAGATTTGGAGGCATGCCAATACAGCTTAACCAAACAAATCTATCATTATCCAACCTCGTGCCTTTACTCCATTCAGTGATTGACTCGCACCACTCCATAATCCACTCCCCAACACTGCCCATCAATTGCTTCAGATCCTCTTTAGATTGGAAAGTTATAAGCACGTTTCGCCCTCCGCCTTCTCTGAGTTGAATGTCCTTCAGCCCTCTGTTACAGCATTCTATTTTGAAATCGTCTAAACTGCAGTATGGTTTAAGTTTAATTACTACACTCAATAGTAACCAACCAATGGCATATTCATCTGCTGTAATTCTGATGTTATTTCCACTAACAGTCTTCCTTCTTTTCAAAACCTTAGCGTAAGAGCATCTCTGTCCAAACCCAGCAACCTTTGATCTCATAGTCCCAACTGGTTTTGAATCTACTATTCTTGAATTTGTTAGGTCCTTGACTTTCCTAAAGTCCGCCTTTTTCACCTTCAACGTTTTATCGCCACACTATACTCCATTAGCTTTCTGGATTGCTACCCCCGTTGCAACAGGACAGTCATACCTTACAAATCCGAATTTGGTTCTCGTGGCTTTTCTCATTTTCTCTGGGATATAGACATCTTTAACAACACCGAAGTTTGAAAACATAGTAAACAAACCTTTAGGATTCATCGACTCCGAGATCTCATCCACAAATGGTGTGTGAAGCTTTGCTGACGAGCCATGCCTACCTTGTCTTCGTCGGAACACCGGCTTCCACCCACTGTCGCCTACCTTAGCCATTTAACGTTAATGAACCAAATGGTGTAGGTGCACATTGATGTTGGAGGCATAAACAGAACTCATAACCAAATAATGATGTGAATATATTATATTTTTGTGAATTAAGAATTTTAAATTAGTGGAATGCAAACTGTTTTTGAATGTCTACCCAATAAAATTTAAAATTATTAAAATTGTTACAAAGAAAACGTAAAATTTAATTCTAATTATGTTAATATTTTCTTGTCCAATCCGATTTGATGGACAATCCATTGGCTTTTTGACAAATTTCAAATCAAAGGACTAGTATAGGGGCATTGGCGGCATTTGATTTACTTTTGAAAGAAATTTTTTAAATGTTTTTAAAATTTGAAAATTTATTTGGTAATAT